TCATTTGAAGTGAAGTTCACTTTTACTCAAAATATTGTGTAAATATAATCATTTTCTTTACTCGATTATTTAGGTATTGTTTTAACTCATTAACAGAGTAAAATTTGATTGAACTCAAAATTTAGAGTAGCCTTTACTCAAATTATGAGTAATTGGCTGTTTTACTCAAAATAAAGAGTCACCATGGATGCATTTCTCTTGAGTAATTTTACCTCTACTTTTGAGTTATTTGTACTCGATAACTGAGTATTTTCAACTCAAACTTGTGAGTAAAGTTACTCATTCTGAGTAAACTTACTCATGCTAGTGAGTAATCTTTACTCAGTATTTCTGCTTAAGTTTACTCACTATAATGGGTCACTATGGATGCAACGATTTACTCAGTATTTTGAGTTCAGTTTACTCAGCTTTTTTTACTGTGTGAAAGTGTAGCGATCCGAAAATTATAGGGATCAAAACTTACCTTTTCGAAAATCTCAGCCAAAAAAAGGCTCCCGAAAATTCTAGGTGACCTTTTTAGCATAAAAATCCGTTAAAAATGGGCAATTAAACCATTTTTTAGATGTTCATAAATCTTAGGAGAGGCAGGCAAGCAAGAAATTTTACAACAAATGTTCCGCAAATTCTAGATCTCAAATCGTCTTCCGAACAGATATTTTCCGAAAATTGACGTTGGGTGCCCCTGTTAGCTAGGCAAAAATGTGATTTTGTCAAGCTGATACTATGAACATAGTGGTACTCATACCCGGGTACTCATAAAAGGGCCCCTTTCTTAAATCTACTGCAATTAGTTAGGGAAAAACAAAAAAGCAATACGGTAACTGGTATGTCTATGTTTTTCGCGGAAAGCAAGCACATGACCCCAACACTATAATATGGTTCCACGTGTTTCCGCTACATTTCGATCAATGACGCTAAAAAACAAAAACAAATTTAAAGTTTTCGCTGCGTCTAGGCTCAATCAGATCACGATGCCATCCCAAATCGTTTTGTGTAAATTCCTGCCAATAAATTTAACTTTTTTGGCTTGCTGTTCCATTTCATTCTGTCCAAGATTGTAGTCAGGATTACTGTGGGATGGGGCGTGAGAGGAAAAATTTGTATCGGTCAAGGAACATTGACTGAAATACAGGATGATAAAAATAGGTAGTTGACTTTAATGGCGTCTGTCCATCTTAAACACTAAACTCATTAATCAGGATGACCTTTGCGTGGGCGGTGAGCGGAAAAGTATGTTAGGGGTCAATGCGCATATTTGACGAAAACTTAAAATAACATGCAAAACACTAAAGACGTCATAGCATGGTAAAGTACCGTAGATTGCTTTCACTTTCGACTCGAACTGACGTGTCCGTCTCTTTTCTCCCTCAGCTGGAATCTCACTGATTTCATTCCGGAATATATCAGCAGTCTACAGTGAGAAAACCCCCTGGTAAGTGTACAAGTAGTAGACAAGTAGTATTGCGACGGCCATTTCCGAATCGAACTATTAACGGTTCTGTATGTGTATATCCTTGCCATATTCTCAAAAAGAAGATCGTGGGGGTAGGGGGGGTTAACATTTGCTTTCACATTAGCACCAAAGAATGGGCCATTTGGTGTCTGAATCGTCTCCGGCTAAACTGAAACGCCACAAACATTTATTCTAATGTTAATCAAGCCCTTGTAATGCCCCTTGTAATGTGTGCTTGTCTTGAGGTGCAGACAACGTACAACAGAGAACTGTTTTGTGAGGCAATGATGTTTTGAAGAAATAATACAGTAAGGCACTTAAAATGCATTAGTAACAGGGACACCCAACGTAAATATAGTTCAAAACCACTTAAACGTAGCATTGTTAAACATATTTTTCTAGATATAGGCATATTTTTATCCCCTAAAATTTTTTCATCTGTTCGGATTTCCTAGCAGAAAGTGTAGCGATCCGAAAATTATAGAGATCAAAACTTACCTTTTCGAAAATCTCAGCCAAAAAAAGGCTCCCGAAAATTCTAGGTGACCTTTTTAGCGTAAAAATCCGTTAAAAATGGGCAATTAAACCTTTTTTTAGATGTTCATAAATCTTAGGAGAGCAGGCAAGCAAGAAATTTTACAACAAATGTTCCGCAAATTCTAGATCTCAAATCGTCTTCCGAACAGATATTTTCCGAAAATTGACGTTGGGTGCCCCTGTTAGCTAGGCAAAAAATGTGATTTTGTCAAGCCGATACTATGAACATAGTGGTACTCATACCCGGGTACTCATAAAAGGGCCCCTTTCTTAAATCTACTGCAATTAGTTTGGGAAAAAACAAAAAAGTAATACGGTAACCGATATGTTTACGTTTTTCGCGAAAAGCAAGCACATGACCCCAACACTATAATATGGTTCCACGTGTTTCCGCTACTTTTCGATCAATGACGCTAAAAAACAAAAACAAATTTAAAGTTTTTGCTGCGTCTAAGCTCAATCAGATCACGATTCCATCCCAAATCGTTTTGTGTAAATTCCTGCTAATAAATTTGAATCTTTTTGGCTTGCTGTTCCATTTCATTCTGTCCAAGATTGTAGTCAGGATTACTGTGGGATGGGGCGTGAGAGGAAAAATTTGTATCGGTCAGGGAACATTGACTGAAAGACAGGATGATAAAAATAGGTTACTTTGACTTTAGACTCTACTGGCGTGTGCCCATCTTAAACACTGCACTGATTAATCACGATCACCTTTGAGTGGGCGGTGAGGGGAAAAGTATGTTAGGGGTCAATGCGCATATTTAACGAAAAATAATAACATGCGAAAATAAACATAGACGTCACAGCACGGTGAAGTACCGTGGATTGCTTTCACTTTGGACTCGAACTGACGTGTCCGTCTCTTTTCTCCCTCAGCTGGAATCTCACTGATTTCATTCGGGAAAAAATCAACAGTCGTACAGTGAGAAGACCCAAAAGTAAGTGTACAATTAGTAGACAAGTACCGTAGTCTAGCAAAGGCCATTCAGAATCGAACTAAACGGTTCTGTACTGTATTGTTTGCTATAATTGTATCACAAACGGAAGACGGGGGGAGGGGTGGTTACGTTTGCTTTCACAGTTAGGTGTCTGAACCGTCTCCTAACCGAATGGCCACAAGCATCTATTATAATGTAATGAAGGAATAATATATTGTTCGCCCCTTGTATTGTGTTTTTGTCCTAAGGAGTAGATAACGTAGAAGAGGGATAAATGAACTGTTTTGCGAGGCAATGATGTTTAAAATACAGTAAGGCATTTAAAATGCATTGGGCTAAAAAAGTGAAGCTGATACTATGACTATGGTGAATGTACTGTGGATATTTGGGGGGGAAACACTAAAGGGATACGGTAAGCGATATGGTCATGTTTTCGCCGAAAGCAATCAAAACAAGCACATGGCCCCAACTCTATATGATTCCACTCGTTTCGACATGTTTCCGCTACAGTTTTGACCAATGACGCTAAAAACAAAAACAAATTTTAAATTTTCCCTGCTCCAAGATTCAATCTGATTACAATGGATCTCAAATCGTTTTTTGTGAATTCCTGCTAATAAATTTACTACTAACACCAGCGCCAAATGTTATTAATTCGAATTGTGCTCAATACCACTTGGAATTTTTTTGCAGATAGTTTCCGAGCAATTTGTTATTGGTTTTCTTGTATAAAAACATCTTTGTTGCTATTTCCCTATATTCCATAATTTTTTTACAAGACATTGATGATATGCAGGGTTAGCTTAGACAAAGGCGGAACGGCTGCGATCAGTATGGGTTCCTGCGGCGAGTCAATACACATTCCGCACCCGGGGAAGGGGGGCACTCACTTATTTGCATATACTGGTATGTGCCATACGTCCATCGATGTTAAGTTCATCTTCGATAGTGCATGATAATCGGCAAGTTTAGGAAATATTAAAATACCGTTGTCTTTTTGCCATGTCTTAGCCAATAATTTGCCTATGGCCTATTTCTTTCATGAAACGAGTGAAATGTACTCACTACTAATAAAACAACTCAACGTCTTCCCCAGGTCTTCTCGGTTAAAGGTTCAATAATCTGGCAATTTTGCTGCACTCTTTCAACTATTGACATCATTTTGGTCGACAATAGCTGGTTATGATGAATAATGCATGGCATTTTAGCCAATAAGAAAAAGAGAGAAATACTTTGAATGAATAATAATTCTTAATATTTGGCCAAATCAGAGAAGAAGCTAATAAAAGAGGGTGGGAGTCAGGAGTGCAGCTGGGGTTCGAGAGACGGGAGGTTTGGACCCTCCTCTACCAGAGTCTTTTGCCTCCTACCTTCCTCGCTCCCCCGTATACAAGCCACAAGCTGCATGATGTCAGCTTCAAATTAGTTTTTAAAACCTAAAGACCCTTTACCCGGTTCAGCCACAAAAAGGAAACACCACCACCATGCAGTGCAAAATCCATACGCCGGCCACTATTACCGATAGAATATCTTGGACAGAAGAGAGATGGAAATTTATATCTCTCCTCTTCCTCCGCCCCAAATCAGGGATAGGAAATTAGCACGTTTTGGCTTTTGCGCAGCTTCATCCTTGATTTGGGGGGGTTGGGGGGTGGGGGGTGGCTTGCTGATCCATTTTATTCTGTCCAAGATTGTAGTCAAGATTACTGTGGGATGGGTCGTGAGAGGAAAAATTTGTATTGGTCAACAAGGAACATTGACTCAAAAACAGGATGATAAAAATAGGTTACCGTATTTTCTCGATTAAACGCCGGACCCCGATTAAACGCCGGCCTCGTTTAAACGCCGGGTCAAAACTGCTAATTTTTAAATAAACGCCGGGGGCGTTTGTTCGAGGTCCCGGCGTTTATTTGCGTCGAGCCAACAAGTACAGATATTCACAAGAAAAGCACTGCTATGACACGTACTGTACGGTATACTGCTTTTTTTATTTTAATAAATGCTTAACGAACAAGTCTGGCGTAACATTAAGAATTAAGAATCTGTGCCAAATAGCTTACGATGACTGGATGGCAGAAACCGAGCACGAAATTACTCCAGCGGGTCGCATTAAGGCACCTTCAAGGCACAGCTGTGTTGAGAGAATATTAGCGGCCTTCGAAAGCCTCCCAAGTGACATTATCAAGAAGAGTTTTGAAGTGTGTGCGATCTCGCTACCCATTGACGGATCGGCAGATGAGAAAATATACTGTTTTCAGAAAGAAGGCCCACTAAGCAATGGGAGGGAGGAGTTTACTGAAAGGGCCGCGGCATTTTACGCTGCGCTGGGACAAGGTGCTCCCGTAGATGAAATTAAAACGACCCATTCGCGGACCTAGAGCCGGACATTTTCGCAGAAGAACGTAATGAGATTGTTGTCCACGAAGATTAGCCGATTAGAACACAAACATTATTGCGAACGTTTGTTGATACAAACATAAAGGACGTTGGCGACATTGCCGTTTTTAAACTTTAAACGTTTTGTTCTGTTTGCATAAATACTGATTACAATATACACGTGCCGTATGTAATACCGTATGTATGAGATACAGGGACATTATGTCAGGTCGGGTCCATTAGGGAGAAATCGTCCCACCTTGACAAACTGCGCACGGATCTCAAAGAATGTGAAATAATACATCAACCTAAAAGTGATGAAAATTTTACTTCATTAATAAACGCCGGACCCCGATTAAACGCCGGCTTCAAATAAACGCCGGGTCCCTGAGGCCAAGTTTTAAATAAACACCGGGGGCGTTTAATCCAGAAAATACGGTACTTTGACTTTAGACTCCACTGACGTGTGTCCATCTTAAACACTAAACTCATTAATCACGATGACCTTTGCGTGGGCGGTGAGGGGAAATTATGTTAGGGGTCAATGCGCATATTTGACGAAAACTAATAACATGCAAAACACTTAAGGCGTCAGAGCACTGTAAAGTACCGCAGATTGCTTTCACTTTCGACTCGAACTGACGTGTCCGTCTCTTTTCTCCCTCAGCTGGAATCTCACTGATTTCATTCCGGAATATATCAGCAGTCTACAGTGAGAAAACCCCTAGGTAAGTGTACAATTAGTAGACAAGTAGTATAGCGACGGCCATTTCAGAATTGAACTATTAACGGTTCTGTATGTGTATCTTGCTATATTCTCAAACAGAAGATTGTGGGGGAAGGGGGGGGGGTTAACATTTGCTTTCACATTAGCACTAAAAGATGGGCCATTTGGTGTCTGAATCATCTTCGGCTGAAACGCCACAAACATTTATTCTAATTTTAATCAAAAAATAATATCTTGTTCTGCGCCTTGTAATGTGTGCTTGTCTTGAGATGCAGACAACGTACAACGGAGATCTGTGATTCAATCAGATCACAATGCATCTCAAATCGTTTTTGTTTTGTTTTTTTTGTGAATTCCTGCTAATAAATTTACTACACCAACGCCTGATGTTATTAATCCGGACTGTGGTCAATGAATAACCCTTGGAATTTTCTTGCAGATAGTTTCCTAGCAAGTTGATATTGGTTTTCAGGTAAAAGCATCTTTGTTGCTATTTCCCTATATCCCATAATTTTTTACCAGACATTGATATGCAGGGTTAGACGAAGGCGAGGCGGCGAGTCAATACACATTCCGCACCCGGGATAGGGAGAGGGGCACTTCCTTATTTGGCCTATAGGCGTATGTGCCATATCTCCATCGATGTTTCATCTTCGATAGTGCATGTTAATCGGCAAGTTTAGGAAATATTCAAATATTCTCCAAATAGCAGATGTCGTCCTTCGAATTGTCTTTTTGCTATGTTTTAGCCAATATTTCACAAATTTACGAACCAGTAAAATGTACTCACAACTAAAACAAGTCAACCTCGTCCCAAGGTCTTGAAGGTTCAATAATCTGGCAATTTTGATTTTGCTGCACTTTTTCAACTATTATATTGACATCATTTTTCAGATATCGCAAAATTCTTCTAAATTTGGTCGACAATAGCTGGTTATGATGAATTATGCATAGCAGGCAAGCAAGAAATTTTACAACAAATGTTCCGCAAATTCTAGATCTCAAATCGTCTTCCGAACAGATATTTTCCGAAAATTGACGTTGGGTGCCCCTGTTAGCTAGGCAAAAAATGTGATTTTGTCAAGCCGATACTATGAACATAGTGGTACTCATACCCGGGTACTCATAAAAGGGCCCCTTTCTTAAATCTACTGCAATTAGTTTGGGAAAAAACAAAAAAGTAATACGGTAACCGATATGTTTACGTTTTTCGCGAAAAGCAAGCACATGACCCCAACACTATAATATGGTTCCACGTGTTTCCGCTACTTTTCGATCAATGACGCTAAAAAACAAAAACAAATTTAAAGTTTTTGCTGCGTCTAAGCTCAATCAGATCACGATTCCATCCCAAATCGTTTTGTGTAAATTCCTGCTAATAAATTTGAATCTTTTTGGCTTGCTGTTCCATTTCATTCTGTCCAAGATTGTAGTCAGGATTACTGTGGGATGGGGCGTGAGAGGAAAAATTTGTATCGGTCAGGGAACATTGACTGAAAGACAGGATGATAAAAATAGGTTACTTTGACTTTAGACTCTACTGGCGTGTGCCCATCTTAAACACTGCACTGATTAATCACGATCACCTTTGAGTGGGCGGTGAGGGGAAAAGTATGTTAGGGGTCAATGCGCATATTTAACGAAAAATAATAACATGCGAAAATAAACATAGACGTCACAGCACGGTGAAGTACCGTGGATTGCTTTCACTTTGGACTCGAACTGACGTGTCCGTCTCTTTTCTCCCTCAGCTGGAATCTCACTGATTTCATTCGGGAAAAAATCAACAGTCGTACAGTGAGAAGACCCAAAAGTAAGTGTACAATTAGTAGACAAGTACCGTAGTCTAGCAAAGGCCATTCAGAATCGAACTAAACGGTTCTGTACTGTATTGTTTGCTATAATTGTATCACAAACGGAAGACGGGGGGAGGGGTGGTTACGTTTGCTTTCACAGTTAGGTGTCTGAACCGTCTCCTAACCGAATGGCCACAAGCATCTATTATAATGTAATGAAGGAATAATATATTGTTCGCCCCTTGTATTGTGTTTTTGTCCTAAGGAGTAGATAACGTAGAAGAGGGATAAATGAACTGTTTTGCGAGGCAATGATGTTTAAAATACAGTAAGGCATTTAAAATGCATTGGGCTAAAAAAGTGAAGCTGATACTATGACTATGGTGAATGTACTGTGGATATTTGGGGGGGAAACACTAAAGGGATACGGTAAGCGATATGGTCATGTTTTCGCCGAAAGCAATCAAAACAAGCACATGGCCCCAACTCTATATGATTCCACTCGTTTCGACATGTTTCCGCTACAGTTTTGACCAATGACGCTAAAAACAAAAACAAATTTTAAATTTTCCCTGCTCCAAGATTCAATCTGATTACAATGGATCTCAAATCGTTTTTTGTGAATTCCTGCTAATAAATTTACTACTAACACCAGCGCCAAATGTTATTAATTCGAATTGTGCTCAATACCACTTGGAATTTTTTTGCAGATAGTTTCCGAGCAATTTGTTATTGGTTTTCTTGTATAAAAACATCTTTGTTGCTATTTCCCTATATTCCATAATTTTTTTACAAGACATTGATGATATGCAGGGTTAGCTTAGACAAAGGCGGAACGGCTGCGATCAGTATGGGTTCCTGCGGCGAGTCAATACACATTCCGCACCCGGGGAAGGGGGGCACTCACTTATTTGCATATACTGGTATGTGCCATACGTCCATCGATGTTAAGTTCATCTTCGATAGTGCATGATAATCGGCAAGTTTAGGAAATATTAAAATACCGTTGTCTTTTTGCCATGTCTTAGCCAATAATTTGCCTATGGCCTATTTCTTTCATGAAACGAGTGAAATGTACTCACTACTAATAAAACAACTCAACGTCTTCCCCAGGTCTTCTCGGTTAAAGGTTCAATAATCTGGCAATTTTGCTGCACTCTTTCAACTATTGACATCATTTTGGTCGACAATAGCTGGTTATGATGAATAATGCATGGCATTTTAGCCAATAAGAAAAAGAGAGAAATACTTTGAATGAATAATAATTCTTAATATTTGGCCAAATCAGAGAAGAAGCTAATAAAAGAGGGTGGGAGTCAGGAGTGCAGCTGGGGTTCGAGAGACGGGAGGTTTGGACCCTCCTCTACCAGAGTCTTTTGCCTCCTACCTTCCTCGCTCCCCCGTATACAAGCCACAAGCTGCATGATGTCAGCTTCAAATTAGTTTTTAAAACCTAAAGACCCTNTAGAAGAGGGATAAATGAACTGTTTTGCGAGGCAATGATGTTTAAAATACAGTAAGGCATTTAAAATGCATTGGGCTAAAAAAGTGAAGCTGATACTATGACTATGGTGAATGTACTGTGGATATTTGGGGGGGAAACACTAAAGGGATACGGTAAGCGATATGGTCATGTTTTCGCCGAAAGCAATCAAAACAAGCACATGGCCCCAACTCTATATGATTCCACTCGTTTCGACATGTTTCCGCTACAGTTTTGACCAATGACGCTAAAAACAAAAACAAATTTTAAATTTTCCCTGCTCCAAGATTCAATCTGATTACAATGGATCTCAAATCGTTTTTTGTGAATTCCTGCTAATAAATTTACTACTAACACCAGCGCCAAATGTTATTAATTCGAATTGTGCTCAATACCACTTGGAATTTTTTTGCAGATAGTTTCCGAGCAATTTGTTATTGGTTTTCTTGTATAAAAACATCTTTGTTGCTATTTCCCTATATTCCATAATTTTTTTACAAGACATTGATGATATGCAGGGTTAGCTTAGACAAAGGCGGAACGGCTGCGATCAGTATGGGTTCCTGCGGCGAGTCAATACACATTCCGCACCCGGGGAAGGGGGGCACTCACTTATTTGCATATACTGGTATGTGCCATACGTCCATCGATGTTAAGTTCATCTTCGATAGTGCATGATAATCGGCAAGTTTAGGAAATATTAAAATACCGTTGTCTTTTTGCCATGTCTTAGCCAATAATTTGCCTATGGCCTATTTCTTTCATGAAACGAGTGAAATGTACTCACTACTAATAAAACAACTCAACGTCTTCCCCAGGTCTTCTCGGTTAAAGGTTCAATAATCTGGCAATTTTGCTGCACTCTTTCAACTATTGACATCATTTTGGTCGACAATAGCTGGTTATGATGAATAATGCATGGCATTTTAGCCAATAAGAAAAAGAGAGAAATACTTTGAATGAATAATAATTCTTAATATTTGGCCAAATCAGAGA